CACTGTCTGTATTGCTCAAGGCTTTCCAGCATGCTCTATGTGAGCCTCAGATCCAGATAAACACCTAAATATAGAAGTTTGCTTATAGGTGGGTACATGTGTGCTACGTGTCTATACTTCCATTACAGTCGGTCGAGATCTAGGGCTTAGTTCAGCAGAGTACATAGAGGTGTCCCCTGTTACATGATATTCCCTGCTCTCCAGTGACTTCTCCTGAAGGGCACAGCCTTCCCAGGTCTGAGAGCATAGCTGCCGGACCTAGGGGATGTCTCAGATACCTTAGGGCATCTCAAATGGCACTGGGCAAATAAATTCGGGCAGCTGAATCAAGCCTTTTTTTGTGCTAAGCCCAGAGCACGAGTCAGCTGAGCAGCCAGCAGGAACCTTCCTGAGGATTAGCTGCACCTCTCTCAGTTGACGTGATTTCCTTGTGCTGCATGGAGAGTGCAGACACCTGCTTCACATGTAGACACCTAAATTTAAATGTCTTCACATGGAGCTGAGTCCCAACCCATCTATTTTTCTGATGTTCATTGGAATTTGTGATGTCTTTAACTCTTCCTGGTCAGTTATTCTACTTCTGAATACTCACCCAGACCTGCTGCATCTGGTTGCTGTGCTCTTGAGACTTGAACTGGGCAGAGACGCCCTAGGATACTTTATCCACTTCTGGCTCTTCCTGATCTCTGAACTTGTTGGATTTACATCTAGAAGCAAATCCAGCTTTTTTTGGTAGCTAATGATATAGTAGCCACCTACAATCACATCCACCTATGTAGTAGCCAAATGCATTTTAAAATGTTGCAGCATAAGACCGGCAGAAGGTCTGCCTAGCCTAACACACTATGTCCAACAGTGACACTAGTCAGCAGTGAACAGTCAGGGAAGATTACACAAGCAGGGTAAACATACAGTGATATTTCTCCATAAGAGTCTCTCAGCCTCCAACAGCCTGCTACTTGGAGATGTTCTGAGCCAGAAGTGGGCTCTTGGTATTAATTAGCCCAGGATTAAATTTTCTCCCATGAGATCATCCTGCTGGCTTTGAACCCATGTAAACTTTTAGTATCTTGTGACAAGGTTTTCCACAATTTAGCAGGACACTCCTTAAACCACAGACTGTCTGTGCCCTTAGTATTGTAATAAGAGAGCAAAGCCATTCATAGGTGAGTTCAGAGAAACCCAGAATGTCTGCAGACAAGGGTATTTGGACCTCAGGTTACTCTGGTGGCTGAGCAGAATGAACCAAGGCTATTTTGTACTGTAATGGAGCAGGCTAAGGAAAGAGTCTCCTGCTTGTAAGTACAGCCAGTCTCCCTCGCCACTCACCTGTAGGGAGCCTTTTCACTTACTGGGTCATTTGTGACTTGTAGAAGCTATGCTTGGGACAAGATGAGTGTTCATACCCAATACAAAAGAAGCAAAACTCAGGTCAACAAGAACTTGCTTTCAGGAAGTTCTTCACTGGCAAACGTGGGTTTGGATTATCCTTGCATATAAACATACAAACACCACAAAATCCTAAGATTTAAACCACGTGTTTCTTACAAAGGCTCTTTAAGCTTTTAGCAGAAGTTCAGGAAATTAATGATGAGGGGATGAAGTAACACAGCGCTTGTTCTGTCCCTTTCCAATCTCTGCCCACCAGTGTGTCTGCCCCAATCATCGTAAAAGAACATTATGCCTTCTCACAGCATCCATGTGCCATCACTGTGCTGCTTCTCCTCATCTCCCTTTAAATGCTGTTCTGGCTCAAAGGGCAGTTAGCTTATTAGTTCATGCAGAACAAACTCACTCTCACAGTTTGAATCTGTGACCTGAAGAAATAAATCTTAACACTTGCTGGGCTTCAGCAAACTTTCCAGGCTGCCAGCTAAAAGAATGCTTCTGAGTACCCAGCACTGTATTTCTTCCTTTCCAGGAAATGGTACATCAGGGCAGTTGCGTCCAGAAACTACATGCCTCAACCACACAGTGTTTGTACTCATAGGAAATTTGTATGTGTGCTTGTAAGTCCAGTTCCACTGGACTCTCGCCACTCAGGCTACTCTATTTTTTTCTTACCTTTGTTTTCTTTTTAGCCTTTTCATAGGGAAGTTGCTATGGGAAAAGATATAAAGGGAAAAAGTTCTAGTCTACGGATTTGTACAATTTGCTACACCAGGCTTCAAAGCTCCTACATAAGGTTCCTTCAACACTGCTTCTCTTATCCATATGTTTTCAAAATTACACCCTCAGTTTTCACCCTGGAGGCTTCCGAGGCAGTTTTTGACACCAGTCCTGACCTCACATCCCTACCTCAAACAGGAATCTCAGTGCTTCAGATTCCCACCCACTGCAGGAGTCGTCTCTCTTTTGTCCCCTCATTCAGCTCATGTACATGTACGTGTTATTTATTGGTACTTGGACATTAATGCTTTCTGTAATATATTTCTTTCAGACATCATTGTTCTCATCGCTTCAATAGCAGTTGTTTCTGCAAAAACTCAGGGTAACATTTTTGCAACATCAGCACTGAGAAGTCTTCGTTTCCTACAGATCCTTCGTATGGTGCGCATGGACCGAAGAGGAGGCACTTGGAAATTATTAGGTTCAGTAGTTTATGCACATAGCAAGGTATGTAATCCTAGATGCTGATTTTGTCTGGTTGATATCTTCACTTGATGTGATTCAACAAGAGGCCAAGGAAACAAACATACATCAGTTTGGAGCAGAATACCTAAAATTTTCTGAAGTGACATCAATTGTAATGGGCATTAGCACAAATACATCAGGCCACGTTAAATGCTAACAGTTTTTAGAATATGTTTAAAATGTTGTACGTGATATGCTGTTGTAATTCGATATATATTAGTGAAGTTGCCGGAGCGTCAAACTATAGGAGTAGATTGGTCCAGTTTTAGAGAAAATTTGCATCCATAGGGAAGCATTTGACTTTTAACTGCTCAGATGCCAAAAAAGTATATAGATCTTTTCATTTTGTCTTCCTTGAAATGGCATTCTGTTCAATCTTTCAAATTAATATTGATCTCTGATTTCTTTTATCTAGGAATTAATCACAGCCTGGTACATAGGATTTTTAGTACTCATCTTTTCATCTTTCCTGGTTTATCTGGTGGAAAAAGATGCAAATAACCAATTCTCCACATATGCAGATGCTCTCTGGTGGGGCACAGTAAGTATAGAAAAATAATATGCACTGTTTAACCAGTATTCTAGAGTGCTTTGAATTTCACCTACCGTGGATTTTAACTTAGTGTGCTGTTCGGTGAGTTGTTTTCACTGGCAGAAAACTGGTCTGAGAAGGTTCCTCCTCCAGCTATTCATTTGCATATCCATAGTTCATTTCACCCCATCCTGCAGAACAGCTGTTTATGTGTTTCTGCTGCAAAACAGACCACTGAACCTTCAAGGAAAGAAACCATTTTATTTTTTAACCCAGATCCTTTCAGTAATACAGTTTGTAATACGGTCCCACAAAGAGCTGCTTTGGTCCAAATCAGAGGGCTGTAAACTGCAGTGGAAGAAGAGGAACAAGTATCAGGAAAGAAAAAGGGAAAAAATTCTTATGTCAGTTTTGTGGTGAAGGGAAGAGTATCATCAACACCCGCAGAACCATGTTGTTTCTCCTTCCTCTGTACCCTGAGCACAAAAAGCAAGAATAAATATTCCCATTCTGGTTCACAATTACTTTTACAGGTGTAAAAGCCCTGATTTAGTTGAGCTCATGCTTAACTATCAAATCAATTTTTTTTACTTTGTTGAAATCTGTGGGATCTGAGTACATGCCTGACTACTTTTCTGAAAGAAGGAGGATTATATGAATGCTTACATGTTTAAGTAAACTAGACTTTAAATCAACAATGAAAAACTAGGTCTGAAATGTTGATTTTTTTTTCTTTTTAATGGCATAATATGTATGGTTTTTTGCTTAAATATGCCCTATAGTGAGCTAGACTCCTGCACTGTGTGGGAGTTACTTAGGCAGCTTAGGAAATCTGCCCCAACAAAGTCCTTGGCACAGCTATTGCCAGGCAGTATAAAACTGCTTTTCTTTTCCTTCTCATGCGGTAGAACAAACACCATGAGTCTGACAGTGTCTGGGTAGTGAAATGATGCCTGTGAGATCATTAACGCTGACATAACCTAGAGTACTCATTAGTTTTCCTGGAATAAGTGCGAGACCTGAACCAGCCTCTGCCACCTTTCCTCATCAGAGGGATGCAGAAATGAAGCTTTCTCACCTCAGACCTTCTGCTGACAAGACTTCATCTGGACTCAGTAGTATCCACAGATTCAGGGCATGCGTAGATGGACTGTGCAAAAGCCTTTTCCAAAATGCTTTGAATGCTTGAAAAATATTTTTAATAAGTTTTGTTTACATTTTGAGCAAAGGTCAAGGTCATATCCCATTAGTAGGACTAGTTTGTGTGTTTACAATTTCTTCATCTAAGGGTTAATCATTTGTTACATGTCTTCCCTAGAGACTATATTTCTGTGTTACCAGTGCACAAAATTGGGAGCTTGGAAAAGCCAGACGTGTAGCTCCTACTTATGCATTTACAAATATACAGAAATAATTTTCCTGAAACTTGTTGCTTTAGAGCATGAACGCAGATCTCTAATAAAATACACAATTTTATCCTGTAATCCAAACACATGTAAAATTCATGTTGGCTAAAGCCACGAGAGAAGGTTTTACCCCCAGTCACACCACTGCAATCTATTTTGTGGTTTAGCTATCTGTAACTGAGAGTAGAATTTGGCCCACGCAGGAGGAGTTTCACTTCTCTTCAAAAGCTGAGGTCCAGACTTGGCTTAAAGCTTCCTGACCCGCTCGTATTGAAACAGTTGTGAAGCGTTTGGCTCGGGATGCTGGTGTCCTCGCTGATAGGTACCCTGGCTCCAGCACTCTGCAAACATCATTGCCCCTTTGGGGGTGGCAGTGGGGACGTGGTCCTGCGAGAGACCCTCCTAAGGTCATGTAGGTGGGACGTGGCAGTGAGTGGATCTGGGAATGTGCATTTTCAGCTGCTCGATTCTCCAGGAAACACCCTCTACCTCTCTGCAAAGCTGTGTTTGACTTAGCACTGCATAGGCAGGGAGTTTGGACTAAGCAGAGGATTGTACCCACCTGCCAGCAGGCAATAGTGTGGGGACACACATGCATGAGGAACAGGAAATTCCCAGCAAACTCAGACCTCAACTCTGACGTCCAACTGAGGCTCATGTCAGAGCCAGATCCTTCTCCCTGAGCAGCTCTAGCAGCAGGAACAAGATCTTTATTTTAGAATTTGTTTCTCCACTACCTGCTGTCAGCTATTTTTTAAGGAAAAACCCTGTGAAGAAATAATCATTGTATAAAGTGATGCTTAAAATATTTTGTACACTATGAAGTGAAAATGTATGACTCATAGGTCAGACAAGTAGTGCAACTGAGAAAATAGGAATCTTTTCTTGACATCAGCAGGCAGCA